AGAGAGAGAGAGAGAGAGAGAGAGAGAGAGAGGATTTACGAAAAAATAAAAGAACGAACAAAAGAGAGAGCGAGAGACGAATTTCCCTACTAGTGAGCGAGGAGAGAGATAACGATCCTTCTCTCACAACAATTGCCATACATAGAGAGAGAAGTCCTATTAGTGACAGAGACAAATCGTACGCTCTCTTAGAGAGAGAAAGAAAAAGTTTGTTATTCACTCAGAGGAGAGAGATAGAGAGATGAGAGAGTTTTGGGGTTCCAGAACTGACAATCCCCACAGAAAACCAAAAACAGAAGAGAGAGAGAGACCCAAAACCCCAACATACAAAACGAAGTAATTAATAAGCTATTCCTGCAGTTTCTTTTATTCATATGTGGGGTTCACCTTGGTTTCTAGGGTTTCCACTTAAGACGTCCAAAATATTGAAGTGGCCATCATCTGCTGCAACAGAGGAGCTCTCCGATGCGAGACTGAAACCACCATCAAACCCTAATCCCTGTGAAGAAGATGACTGTGTACAGCGAGGAGAAGTTGCAGGAGAAGAGAGAGAAAATCCCAACCAATTATTAATGGACCCCATTCTCTCTCTCTCTATATATCCTCCACTTACCAAAAGAAAGAAAACCTCGTTATTGGGTTGATTTTACTGTGCAGATAGATGAAGAGGGAGAAATGGGGTTGAATTTTTTTTGGAGAGGGAGACGAAAAGACTGTGCAGATGCGGTTAATGGCGACAGAAGAAGAAAAGAAATGCGGTGACGACGCGCCTGGGATTTATATACTAAGGTTTACCAGGCGTGCTTGCATTGGGAACCATGCTTTCTCTCTCTAGACTCTAGAGAGAGAAAGCAGCTCTCTCTCTCTTTCTTCTCTCATTAAAAGGATGCATTTCTCTCCTCTCGTTAATGGCTCTCTTTCTCTCTCTTCACCAAACGTCGCCTCTCTCTTCAGTCCTCTCACTAAGGGTCTTCTCTCTCTATATGTTCCATACACCGACGACATGACATTCTCTCTCTTCTCATTAAGAGGTTCATCTTTCTCTCTCTAAAAATGCGGAGCCCACACTGTGAACTATATTCAGTGTCCCTAGAATCGTAGTTACCCTATTGTTTTTGCATGAATTTCTGATACGCCACTATTTATGTACAGAAGTTCGAAACTGCCCTTGCATGAAAAAAATAACCAAACTACCCCCGCAATTGTCACAAACCGGATTTCAAATATTTTATAGGAAAGCCCGAAAAAAAAAAAAAGCAAATTTTTTCTTCCCACTAACACTTTACTCCTATTTTCATATTCTACTTGAAAAAAGAAGTAGGGGCTTCCTCTTTCCCACTAAATTACCTAAAAACATAAAATAAATAAGAAAGCTATTTTATTTTAGTTGCACCATGTGTACCCATTCGTATTCCATATTGTCGTTATCATCATCTGTTATCATCATCGTTCAAGCTCCATCTAAATTATTTAAAGTTCGCTTTACGAATCTCATTCTACTATTCATTGGATTATATTTCATAATAGAAATGTAGTAAAAGTTTTATGTTGACAACTAATCTAACACAACCCTCCTCCTACCTATTCCGATTGGGGGCTGACAATTGTGGAGTTAAACGTGGCCATTTGTATTATTTTAAAATTTACTAAGCATTCCCCCGCAAAAATAAGTAGTTCATGCATCACTTTACCTATTTGTGTCATTTTTAATTTACTAAGAATTATATTGCAAATTAATCAGTTAATGCATTTCTTAAACTCACAAAATATTTACCAGGTCAAACATAAGCTTAAGCTATCTTGCCCTACCTTTTTATTTTTTTTCTCTTTTTTAAAATGTTAAAGTGTAACTTTTATTGACTAACAAAATTGATATAAAAGTGCTTAAAGGTATTGGAAGCTTGTGAATGTGAGATAGGCATTAGATTACCATTCTTGACTAGGCCCTATGCTGCTGCTTCTTTTCTCTTACAAATCTTTCTAAGATGAACCTCTATATTTTGCAATCCCTCGTTGTCCACCAAAAAATAATAAAAAGAAGGCTTGAAATTTGTTTGGGGTAAGTCAGCGGGGAGACATTTGTTGATTGCCTATTATTTGTATTTATCATGAAGAACAAGTTACTAAGAAAATGCATAGATTGAAAACCTCCATTGTCCATATAATTGAAATATTTGACATTCTATATCAGGATACAAATCAAAACCTAAGTTTGAACATATAAATCTCCCAAACTTAATTCCCTGTTACATAATATCTTTTAACCCAAAGTTTTATTATGGATATTTTGTACCCAAAACATAAAAAAATGATTCCCAATTTTACCTTAGCATTGACAAGTGATTATCATCATCATTTTAGTCTTATCTCATCATCATTTTTTTTTGGATAAATCAGTGGGGAGACATTTGTTGATTGCCTATTATTTGTATTTATCATGGAGAACAAATTACTAAGAAAATACATAGATTGAAAACCTCCATTATCCATATAATTGGAATATTTGACATTCTATATTAGGATACAAATCAAAACTTAAATTTGAACATATAAATCTCCCAAACTTCATTCCCCGTTACGTAATATCTTTTAACCCAAAGTTTCATTATGGATATTTTGTACCCAAAACATAAAAAAATAATTCCCAATTTTACCTTAGCAATGACAAGTGATTATCATCGTTGTTTAAACCTTATCTCAACTATTTGAAATTGGTTGTACCAATCCTATTCTACTATATAAAATAAAAATTCGTAAAACAACATATAAAAATTTTACATTAACAACCAACCTAACACAACCCTTCGTCTTTTTTCGAAGCTTGAGATTTGCATGAACACCTCATGATGAAGTTATTAGCATTGGCCAGTGATACAACCATACAAAAATTTTCAAACTGAGGTTACTTTTGATATTTTCTCTAAACCCTAGGGAAGTTTTGGTCAAATTTTCTCACATTGTTTCCTAAAGGGCAAACGTCAATTCAAGTCAGAGCCCAACTGAATGGGATTGGGGGACTTGGGTGGTAGATTCAGAAGGTGATAAAAGACTTAATTTTTTATACTATTTTTATAAAAAAAATCATTTCATCATCATAATAATTTACTCCTATTTTTTCTCAAAAATAAAAATTGCCACAAAATTAATATTCATAGTTTATTTTTATGGAGCAGACAGGTGGGAATGGGAGGCCTCTCTTTTTCTCTCTGTCAAATCCAAAAGGAGGGTCATTTTTTGTCAGAAATTTTAGGAGGCCTCAGCAACCGCCACCTCTTATTCCAACAAGACCCCCGAATAACAAGGGCTCTCAACCCCTGTCTTTCATTAATGACCCTTTTACCCTTGAAAGTTCCTTAAATAACTAAATCATCGGTCGTTTTAGCAATCCCACCCGATACTATTTGTATGAGAGGGGGATTGAAAAGGGCTAGGAAATCTCAAAATCGAATAAAAAGGTTATTATCGTAATAAAAAATAAAAAATAATAATATTATTATGATCGCCAAAATCTTTTTCCAACTAATTGAAGTTAGTTATAAGAATCCTTATCTATTACAAGTCATACATTTAATGAGGTAAAGTCCTCATATTTTAGATTCTTGATTCATAAAAAGTTTTTGTAAAATTATATGTTGATTGCCTACCCAACACAACATAAATAGAAAATAACATATAATAGTAAAAAAGAAGAAGAAAAGATCAGAGTTAGAAAATTCATTTCACGTGAAAACTTGTTATAATCTTCAATTTTTTGGATTAAAATTGCAGTTCATAGGTTTAGGTGGTGATAATTTTAACTAATTTGACCAAAAATTTTCCTCATTTATAATGTAATTAATCTTTATGCTCAATTATGGAAGGTACAATAAAAAGTGCAATAATCGGATAATGGAAATTTAAGAAATTTTTTTAAAGAGTAACGTAGTTGCATAGTGGTGTAATTTTATGGCTCAACTGGGGAAAAAGAACATTATTTTATGGATAGAGACGCCACTAGGGAATGACGAATTTTCGCAAAATTAGATTTCTAAGATAAGGCATTTGACAACGAAGATTTACGAGGATGGAGAGAGAGAGAGAGAGAGAGAGAGAGGAGAAGAAGAAGCGACGGTGATGATAAACTCATACATCTAACAAAGTTGAGAACAATGTTCGCAAAACTACTGGAATCGGGCACTGGCCGATCTGATTTTGGCCGGTGTTGGTAGTGTGGGGTTGGTTATTTTAAAAAAATAAAAAACGTTATATAAAATCTCAAAAAATAAAAAATTTGCTTGTAATGTGTTTTTGAATATTTTTTATTATTTTGGTAAATATTAGAAAGTATTTTGGTTTTATATTTTTTTATTTTTTTAAAAAAATTAAAAATTCCCTGACATAAATGGATTTTTGAAATTTAATTGTCAGTAAGTTTCGACTTTATTTTCAAATTTTAATCATGCTTTAAACATAATATTTATATTTAAAAAAATATGATTTTTACATTTTTAAGCATGTTTTAGACCGGCTAGGATCTATCCAGTTAGGCTGGTTGAAGAAGAGGTTCGATTATTGGAACTTATGTCTACGAGAGAGAGAGAGATTTGTAGGTGAGAGATGAGCGAGAGAGTTTCATGTGAGAGATAGTAGAGAGAGAAATTTATGAGTGAGAGATCCGATTTGAGAATAAGAGAGAAAGAGAGAGAGACTTATGTGACAATGGGGATGATAAAATATAAGCAAGTTCAGAAGTTGTGGAAGCCGAAAAGTGGAGAGAGAGAGAGAGAATTTGTCCATGTGGTTAGAGAGAGAAAGAGTCTGTCCTGATGCTGATGTGGCTAGAGAGAGAGATTGTCCGTATACGGTTGGATTCAGAGTGATTTGCATGGTGCCCATGTGGCGTCATAAGCTGAGTTATTACATGTGGAGGGACGTTCTCTATTCCCCTCTCTCTGTCGGCAAAATAACCACTCTCCCCTCTTTCTTCATTTCTAAACTGACCTAATTATCTACTCCCTCCTAAGTTCTCCAATAAATAACTCCCACTTTATTTCATACTACAAAACGTGTCAGAATTTAGCATATATTCTAAGTTCCATAATATTTATAGCTTGCTGTTATTAAAACCACAAACAATCTCTCTCTAAAAACTCGAAACAAAACATGGAAGAAATGTATTTGCTTGGTGGGTAAGCAATAGATCTTGTTCCCAAACCATACCGCTCTTAGTCTCTCTTTCTCTCTCTAGAATTCTTATTGCACTCTCTCTCTCTCTCTCTCTCTACAAACGAACTTCACTGATAATAGTAAGGTAAGCTGGGACTTGAACCGTGGACTGTAGTGCAGCGGCCCTAACCATGAACCAATAGCCTTTTAACACGTATTGTTACATGGTTCATATCTACTGTGTCAATTTTTGGGTAAATTTAATTTAAAATTAAAATATCTTTGTTATATTTTCAAGAGTGATTTACGTACAGACTCGAAATAAGTACTTAGAATACGAAATGAGTCGATTATAAGCGTAAATTACAAAGAAGGTAGGTCGGCCGGCGATTGTTTTATTTTTTTCATAATCGCCCCTCGGTCCGAGAAACCTTTGGA